TGTTTGTTTATGATATTGTCTGTCTTTGACATTGTCTCTCTATAACATTATCTGTCTTTGATATGTTCTGTCCTTGATATTGTCTGTCTGTTATATAGTCTGTATATGATGATGTCTGTATATGATATTTTATGTCTATAATATTGCCTCTAAATGATATTGACTGTCTATGATATTATCTGTCTAATATATTGTCTTTACATGATATTGGCTTTATATGATATTGACTATATATGATATTTACTGCATTGATATTTTCTGTCCATGACATTTGATATTGTCTGTCTATGATATTAACTCTCTATGCATTTATAAAAATATAATATAACAATTTTATACTGGCCCGGATAGAAACTCTCACCGGGAACCACTAGCATATGAATGGGGGGGGGGTGAAGGGATGAAGGGGCGGTAAGCCGCCCGGGCGGCACTTTTACTATAATATAAATATATTATATTAAGGGTTGGCAGTTTCGCACAACTATATACATAGTTCTTGTCTTTGGTGAAAAAAGTGTGTGTGTGTGTGTGTGGGGGGGGTGCGGGGGGAGAGAATCTTGTCCCATCCCAGGTGGCACTAACCATAGCTAGGCCACTACGCGTGTGGCCCATAAACTGGGAACGCTTTCCAGGCTAAAATAGGACTGGCAAGCCACCTGCGTGCTCACCTCGGACACGCGCAGTACGAACAACAACAATAGGGTCCAAGATTATCGTTCAAATTAATTTGGCGAGAAACATTTAATGTCAATAAACGCGAGTTACCCAAATGGGTGTAAGGGATCATTTGAAGATTTCAAAAAAATTAAAAATTTATTTTTGTTTGTGGGTGAGGGAGGGTTGGGGGGGGGGAGGGGGGGGACATTTTATCTCTAAGATATGAAAATATATTAACTTTTTTTTTTAAGTGTGGGGTAACAATGATTGGAAGGCAATTTTTTTTTTTTTTTTTCTGGCAATGCAAATTTGTGTCATTTGTTGCAAGTTTTATCCTGCATAAAATGTTTGAACTGGAGATCTAAAAGGACTGAAATCAAGTTTCCATATAGCGGACGCCACAATGCATA